AATCTGTTTCATCTCTAGAAACGCTAGACGACCATCACCGCAGTCTCCACAGCTCGCTATGGAGATTCCTCAGTTGGTGGTTACCAGATGCTTCCATTTGCTAACGTAGGACCAAGGTACCTCTTACTTCGTTCTATCTTTATTTCCCGTCCTCTTTTCTATATCGATACCATTGTTACTGAATCAGGGTTCATATTTTAATTTGTCGGTGCTATAACTTGCATCTTCTTTACCGATTCCGACTGTCATCTCCACCATCGCTCCTACGCCTTTGTTCGTCTAGAAAAATGCAACAACCATTATCTGGTGTACATCATAAGAGGTTTGGGTTTAGTTCCAGCTCCTGTTCTTTTTTTTTTTTTTTTTTCGTTTCCAAGTTTTTGGATCTTCATTTCGTTGTCTCTCCGTTAAATTGAACATGATTTTTGAAGGTTTCTCTTCAATTGATGGAAACCTAGTTGCATGCCACACACCTTCTCGCCACTTTGTTAACAATCGTCGATTCTCACAAGCATGCCTCCAATTCAGATTGTAAATAAAGTATGTCTATCTCTTCTTTCTCTCTTCGATTCCTATTTCGGTTGCTTGATTTTAAATCATTTCTATTGTAAGATGAAATGAGTTTGAATTGGTAGGATTATTATTACAAAATTTTGAAGAAAGTGAAGACGCATACCACCTGTTTGATAAAATGTCTATTTGAAATCTGGAACAGTTTTATTTAGATATAAAATCAGTTTTACATAATAACCAGACCAACAATAATTGCCTATTCTTCAGGAAATTTGGTATGATTCATTCATTTAATGCGTTGTTAAGCTTAATAAGATGTTAGTTGCTAACCTATTTTATGATGGCAAAAACTCATTATGTTTTATCTTTTGATGATCATTTGTGAATCATAACGATTCTCAGAAACAATAAAACCATATGTAGCAATTGATTTTCGTTACAACATCCATGTAATTCTGTTCTTCTACATCGTACTTTGCAATTTTCTGCATCTAACCTTTTTGTTTCTTATCAGGTGGCTTTGAAAACACTGATAGTTATCCATAGTACACTAAGGGAAGCTGATACAACTTTCAGGGAAGAACTTGTAAATTTCCAACAAAGAGGGCGTGTTCTTCAACATGCTGATTTCAATGATGATTCAAGCCCTATGGTATCTTTTTTTTATTTGTTTTCAACTTACAATTCGAATCTTTAAAATGTTTTAAGTAGTTCATGACTTTTATTTTTTATTTTTATAGAATTTTCAGCTTGGGATTGTTCTGTTTGGGTGTGTACATATGGGCTTTTCTTAGAAGAAAGACTTGAATGTTTTAGAGTTTTTAAATATGATATTGAAGCTGAAAAATTCCAACACTTGCTCAAGGTCAAGAAAATAAGGTATTTTTTTTATATAACATTAATTAATTTCAACAAAATGATAATCACATACTTGGTTAAGTAATTCACAACATTTTAATGTATCTTTTTCCATTTTTTTTTGCAGAAAAATAGAAGAATATAAAAATTCTGAAACACTTGAAAGTTATATAAAAGCTTAGGTTAATCAATTTTTCTATAAAATTGTGGAACTTTCAGGTTAATAACTTCTTCACTCTTAAATATTAAAGTATAATCAAAGTCATAGAACATGTAATAAGATTGAAGCGACACAAGGGTATTTTGGTCCAAAATAGAAGGTTATAATATTTTTTTGGAATTTTTTTTCTTCTACACCCACAACTCGGATTTCCATTTTTCAATTACCAATTACAGTTTTCAATTACAAATAATGATGAATGTAGGAAGGAAATTAAACTATGTGATTATACTAATTATATGGTAACACAGGCCATTAATTGATCATTATGCCCCTAGTCATTTAAAGTTTTTTTTTTTTTTTTTTGCATTGTTTTGGCTTTTACTTTGTTTTTTTGGTTTGTATTTTTGTCATAGTAAAAAAATACACAGCTCATAAACTTTTTTTTGGCTATTACAATATTTTTTTTTACCAAAAACGACAATTCACTTTAGTTTTTTTTTTTTTAAATAAAAGTCGTGTGCTTTTTACTATTAATCAGGTTTGTTATAGATTGTCTTATCAGTGAATCTAACAAATTAGTTTGAATGGTTATAGGAAATGAATGAGAAGAAATTGAAGCTTTGAAAATGCATCAAATGACACTTTTGGGTAAGCAACACAATATATTTATCTGTTTTTTAATCGAGTTAATGACAATCATGCCCTTGATCGCTTAAAAGTATTTTGATGTCATTTTGCCTTTTAAAAGAGTGATGTGTGAAATTAAGCAAATGTAAACTCGTACTAGACCAAAACCAATACGAACAAACTAATCCTACTACTAAAACCAAAAAGTAAAGTAATTCATATTTAGTTGAGATTTAATTTTTATTTGATTGTACTTTCTTTCATTCTTGTGATTTTGACGGAAGTTTTCCTTATTTGATTATATACAGTCAACTAGAAGAGACAAAAGGTGGACGAGATTACTGGTGAATGTACCAAATGAACAGTATTGGAATCTGGTTATACCCAACGGAAGTTCTTAGACTCCGATGACTCTATGGAAACTGATCTATCAAAGATCAAATTTTATCAAAACCGTATTGCACAAAGGAATTTGAACCCCTAAAAAACCCTACATTTAATTTGGACATGATTTGAAGAGCATTTATGCAAACTTGATCCAATTCGGCGCCAACGGCGCAAGTAATTCCCTACTAGTTAAATAGTTTATTAAAAACATGATAGTAAAAAATTATTTTATAAATAATAATGTATACACAAATGAATTTAGATTCATATCAAAAAAAAAAAACAAATTGAATTGAATATTGAATGAAGGAGAGGTATAATTGAAAATTCACATATAACAAGATTTTAGTTTGCTTTTCATCGTCGGTTAGATATCCTAATGTTATAATGTATTTGTGGTGTACGACAATTTTAGGTGGTGTTGAATATTGTAAGAAGAGGGTGATCTTACAAAGAGTTACCGTCAATAAACAACATTGACTGGGTTTCTTTAAAGGATAAATGTTTGAAACTTGGATTATTAGACGGTCATAAGGAATCTATTGAAGCAATTAAAGAAGCCACTTTTCTTTAGTAATTGATAATTGTTTTAAATATCCTCATACATTATATTAATTTTCCATATATCATATTAAAGGTTAATATATGTCATTTAATTATATATTTATGGAAAATTAATAATCATTTAATACACTAATCACTATTTTTATATGGTAACCGGATAAATAGAAATAAAATGTTGGGGGATATGTAAAACTTAAATTTCCTTCTATATTTTATTTCTACTTATCTTCCTACCATATTAAATGTTGACATGTATCACAAGAAATTAATAATTATTTAATCCACTTGTCACCATTTTTATATGGTAAGATGATAAATACGAATAAAATGTATAGGAATATTTAATTTCTTTTTGAATTTATGCTAACTCTTCATTGAAATTTTTTGGAAACGGTAATTATGCAATGAAAATTTAAAAAAAAAAAATCAAATGATTTTTGGAATCAAATTTATGAATTATGTATTGTCGTAACTAGTTTTATTCGGTAGTCAGATTTTGATATTACTCACTAGACCCCCATATTTTGATATGTACTCGCATATAAAGGGTCGAAGACTTCTAGCTTACTTTTGGGGTATTTTGAAGGCCATGTACGCATGGTTCCTTTGAACTTTTTTTTGATATATATGATAATTGAAACCCTAAAACTATTAAACTCTATTTTAAAACTATGTTACGTTTGGGATCAATTTTCCACATTTGAACTTTAAAAATATTTTCTTATTTTACTAAATTCTCCTAGCTAGTACAAGGGGTGTTTCATCTAGGGATTTGTAATAGAACATGTAATCAACCTAACAACACATGTGATTGAAGCATAAATCATTTCTTGGAAATAATATTAGAACTCAAACGTTTATACCCAGAATCCATTTTAACTTCATCTAACAAACATATGTCATTCAAATTTAGTTGCAAAAAAATCATATTGGTGTTAAATTTTGTAGTTACCATCAAGAAAACCAATGTCTATCACTTTCTAGAGTTGAGTTATTCCTGCAAAGATACATATTCACTCACGGACAACTGTATGTCGTTTTGTCTAGAGTAACAAACAAAGAGGGTTTAAAGATGATAACCATGGATGAAGAATGAAACTTACCAAACACAACGATTAACGTTGTCCAAAAGGAAATACATCATGATTCGAAAATACTATATTGGTCATCTCGTCTAGATTGATGGTGTTTGAGTACATTCCAAAAAATAAGTTACTTAGATTGTGTCCATAGATATTTGAGCTTGGCTTATGTAATGTTCATATAAATATGTTTATTAATTTCTTAAATCTAATCATATTCATGGTCGACCCTAGCACATGCGGAGTGTACAACCGTACACGGCTCGTGTCATTAGGGGGCCCGAAGTTTTAATCTAGTGTGGTTCCGTCTAACCGTCGCTACTCTGTCATAAATCCAACGCTAATATGTTACTATTTGTCACGAATATGTCCTGATCTGTTGTTAATCCAAAATTTTAGGCCGTATGTTTAATTTTTGGAAAAATCATCAAACCGGCCGTATGTTTAACTTTTTCAAAGAGAAATACAATCAAATGCATATTTTAAGACTATCACCTAGTTATTATTATAAATATGAAAATCTGATGTACAAATTAAAACCTATATCGAATTATTATATTATCCCCTTCAAAAGATAAAAAAAAAAAATAAAAAAAAAATAGAGGCAACGTTAAATAAAGAAATTAAACAGCGTCATAATAGCAATAGGCAGATCCACAACCAACATTCTTTTTAACCTAAAAATAGAAAGAAAAAAAGAAAGAGAGAAAGATAGTCCAATAATACGTCGACTTATCGACTACATGCTATGAATACATAAAAACTACATAGCAATCGCCCCTTGCATAATTTCAGTGGTGGTGGCCATGGCCATGGCCATGTGGTGGTGGAGGGTGGTGAACCACATGTGGAGGAGGGTGATGGACCACTGGTGGAGGTGGGTGGTGAACGACTGGTGGTGGGTGGTGAACGACGTGAACGACTGGCGGAGGAGGGTGGTGGGGAGAGGATCTAGGCATCTTCTTTTTGTGTTTTTTGAAACAAAACATGGAGGGTTCGAATTTGTGAATTGTGATGGTGTTAGAATATGGGTGTGAGAGAAATTGGTAGTTTATAGTGGATCCAAGTCAAACAAAAAATCAAAGAAAACTTGTAAATGTGTATGTGGCGGTGTTAGGTACACCTTAGCCATGAATGAATTGAAAAGGATCTCCAAATTCATCTAACCCACACAAAAGTTTTTTAAGTGTTATCGTTTTAGATCACAAAAACATAAAACGGTTTTAGATATCGACATAGAAAATATCTAGAAATTCTCTTTAACCCGATATTTGAGTCTTGTACGTCTACCATTTGACTATCAAACTATCTTAAAACATTTGTTTTATGAGTCTGTTTGTACCAAATAACTAATTATCGCTAACCATGTCTCATGTCCTATCCGATCATTGAATCAATAGTGATAAGTCCTGTTTGTTGTCCTTTTATGATGTTTTTTTTTTGTCTAGTGCAGGCCGAAGTAAATAAGGTTGACACGTAAATATTGTAATTTGAAGTAATTGGTATGCTAAAATATATAGTATAAAAGAACTTGCTGTATATTATAATAGTAATGTGTTTTTATATAAGCAATCGAGGTGAATTCAACAAGTGAACGAGCATTAATTGACATGATCGAAATTTAAGTTGTATGTCGATGGATGCGACGTTAGGGAATTTGCAAAATATATAAAATTTTATTATTTGAGCATATAACAACTGAAAGGAAATATTTTCTTTATTATGAGGATGTAGATGGCTATTTTTCTATTAATTTGGTTTGTTTTTTAATTAATTTTCATGATTTAATCTGTTTGGCATCGTTTATAAATAATGTATAATTAACTAAAACTGCCTCTTATATTTACAAACTAGTTTCTACTATAGTGAAAATATATTATTTTATAGGGAGATCATCTTGAAGAGAAAGCTTGGCTAAAATTAGGGAAAATAACACATTAGCCCAATGATTTTTGCACATTTACCCATTAAGTCCCTTAATTATTGTTCGTGCTTTACGAGGAAGTAAACTTATTTTTATCGGATCAAATTGGTCCCTTTTGAAGAAATGAAGGGGTAAGCCGGTAACTTCTTGGCCTCAACAAAGAAATTGACTTTTAACTTCTTCCTTTAAAAATTTCCTCCTTTGACTTTGAATCGGGCCATTTACAGTGAATGGGAATCAATTTGGAAGCTAATTTTGACTATTTAGGAAATCAATTTTGACTATTTTATCTTTGGATACTTCATCGACTCTTCACAGATGATGAAATCAACGTCGAGCTAGAAGTCTCCCATCCTTTTACTTACTTTTATTCATCGTTTACATCTGTTTCCTAGTTCTCTGGGTTCTCGAATGCTTTAACAACACAGGATCCGTTCATCGGATCCATTTCTTGATGGTCGTGTTAACAATGAGAATTCCTCATCAGCACTTTCCAAGCTCTTCTTCTGCGACATTGAATTCAGCGAATCGCAATCATCGTTCGCCCAATTCGGTGTTAACGCTTTGCCACACATCCGCCTCCTTCCACCAGATGCGACCACCTTAAAAACCGACTCGATCTCCATGGACACCGGTGATTTCTCCCATTTAGCCGAATCCATGGGTAATTTATCGAATCGAGAACTAAACTCAAAATGGGTCAAATCCACCGTCCTCCAATTCTCTCAAAAACTCAAATAGGGTTCTTAATCGCTGCAGTCCTGATATCCTTGCCATTCCTGTTCAAAAGACTATTAGGCTGTGAAACACTTCTACATGATAATTAGAGGGTTTTGTTGGAATTAATGTACATAATTTTGTTTCTTTTGTATAGCTTATCATAGTTGAGGGACTAGTTTGTAAATATATTCAGATTAGTTAGCTGGTAGCTAAGTTGGTTAGATCTGTAATGTATATACAGAAAAGTTGTTTTCATTGTAATCAATAATTGAAAACAGAATTCTTTACCAATTCTCTCGTTCAACATGGTATCAGAGCGGTTCGTGATCTTGATTTTTTTTTGATTTTCATCAATTCGTGATTCTTCTTCATTTTTGTTTCTCGTTTTGATTGCTTCAATCATGTCTGAAAATAGAAGTGATCCGATTTCTTCGAATTCTCAATCATCTTCTTCATCTATCATTGAAGTTTCTAATCCTCTGTTTTTAGCCTCATCTGATAATCCGAGCACTATTTTAGTTTCAAAAGTTTTTGATGGAACTGGTTTTGCCTCATGGAAAAGATCCATGACTTTAGCTTTATCTGCTAAAAATAAGATTGGTTTTGTCGATGGAACTATTCAAAAACCAGATGAGAATTCAAATCAATTTGAAACCTGGAATCGAGTCAACTCTATGGTTATCAGCTGGTTGTTGAATTCTCTCTCAAAAGACATTGCTGAAAGCGTTTTGTTTTTACAAACTGCTTGTGATATTTGGAATGAAATCAATCAACGTTATCAACAAGCAAATGGTGCGTTGATCTATCAAATTCAGAAGAAGCTGTTCTCAACTACTCAAGGATCTGAAGATTTTTCATCATATTTTACAAAAATGAAGAAGATATGGGATGAGTTGAACATGATTCAAGAAGTTCCGGCTTGCACATGTGGTTCTACAGCCAAGATCAAGAAGTATATTGAAGAACAAAGACTTATTCAATTACTTATGGGATTAAACGAATCTTATAAGTCAACTCGTGGTCAGATCTTGATGATGAATCCTCTTCCTAGCATTGCTACGGTACATTCTTTGTTAATTCATGAAGAGAGACAACGTGATATCAATTCAATCCCTAACATAATTGCTGATTCAATGGCAATGAATGTTAATCATCAAACTTCAAATTCAAACAATTCTTTCAATAAGAAGAATTTGCAGTGCACTCATTGCAAGAAATCTGGTCATGTCAAAGCAACATGCTACAGGATCAATGGCTTTCCATCCGATTTTAAATTTACCAAATCTAAGAGACAAGATTCTACTGTTCAAAATGTTATTGACAGTTCTACCCCTGGTGGAGGATCTAGTAGTGTAGATAAAGCTTCTATTGAAAATTCTACAATTTCTACTCAGCAGTATCAACAATTGATGCAGCTCATGAGTAATCTCAGCAACAATTTCAACAAATCTGTCAATTCTGTGATAACTAATGGTGCTATGGATAGTTCAGGTAAATTTCTTGATTCAAAGGGAAAGCATGTATCATATGTATTCAATGTTGTTCGTCACAATAAACAACAAACTTCTTGGATCATTGACTCAGGGGCTACTGATCATATTTGTTGTGATCAAAATCTCTTTTCTTCAATTCATACATTCAGTCATTCTCATTCTCTCAGTTTACCTAATGGTCAATCCATTAATGTCACCCAATATGGGAAAGTTCCTATTCATGAGAATATTATTCTTAATGATGTTCTATATGTTCCTCAATTCAAAAATAATCTCATATCAGTCACTAAGGTCACATCTCAGTTGAAAGTCTGGATTCTTTTCACTGATGAATTTTGTGCCATGCAGGCCCCTTCGTCGAAGAGTAACTTGATCATTGGAAAAAGAGTTAATGATCTCTACATTCGTGATTACAAGTTTCTCAAACAACCATCAACATTTCATTCTTGCCTTTCTTGTAATAAAAGCAATGCTCTAAATCTTTGGCACAATAGATTAGGGCATTTGCCATTCAATAAGTTGAAACTTTTGTCTCTTGTTTCAAATGAATGTAGTTCTTTCTTTGATTCTTGTAAAATTTGTTCTCAAGCAAGGCAACATTCTATGTCTTTTTCAAATAGTGAAACTGTCTCTAATCACCCATTTGATCTTGTTCATATTGATATTTGGGGGCCCTACAAAGTTCCTACATATAATGGTCATAAGTATTTCTTGACCATTGTAGATGATCATTCCAGATGTACTTGGGTACATTTACTCAAAAATAAAAGTGGTGCTTTTAGTATTATCAAAGCTTTTGTTACATATGTCAAAGTTCATTTCAAGACTGAAATCAAAACAATAAGGACTGATAATGCTTTTGAGTTGGGATCCAGTCAAGAAGGAGCATTATATTTTCAATCTGTTGGTATTTCTCATCAGAAATCATGTCCTTACAAACCCCAACAAAATGGGATAGTTGAAAGAAAACACAAGCATTTATTAGAGATTTCACGAGCTTTATTTTTTCAATCTGGACTTGGCAAATCATATTGGGGTGATTGTGTTCTCACTGCTGCATACATTATTAATAGAACACCTCTTAAAGTGATCAACAACTCAAGTCCTTATGAAGTTCTTTTCAATCAAAAGCCCAATTATAACAATTTAAAAACATTTGGATGTTTGTGTTATGTGGGCACGCATTCACATAACAGAGATAAATTCATGCCACGATCCATGTTTTGTGTTTTTCTTGGATATCCTTTTGGACAAAAAGGGTATAAAGTTCTTGATTTACAAACAAAAGCCATTTCCGTTTCAAGAGATGTGAAGTTTATTGAAGATGTTTTTCCCCTTCAGCAAATGTCAAGCTTCAATAATCAGCCAGGATGTCTTCCTAATCTTGGTTCAGACATTGACATTCTTGATAGTTCAAGTACTGTTTCAGAACAGATTCAAGGTTCTCATCAAAATGACAATATTAACCCTGATCAATCAACTCAATCAGAAGATATTCAAGCTCCTAATGTGGTTGATTCAATTCAACCAAGAAGAACATCACGAATTCATCATCCTCCTGTTCATTTACAAGATTACATTTGTTATAATGTTACAAATGACCAAAATGCCCCCGATTCTTGTTATCACACAATTACAAACTTCTTTATTCATTCACCTGATATCAAACACTTTCATTCATCCAATCATGTATCTTCATTTACCTTTCATACAAATACCAAAATCACTGAACCTTCATTTTATTCTCAAGCCAAAAATGATCCATTATGGCAAGAAGCAATGAAGAAAGAATTTGAAGCTTTAGAAGCCAATCAGACTTGGGAAATTGTTTCTTTACCAAAAGGAAAGAAACCTATAGCTTGTAAGTGGGTCTACAAGGTTAAATATAAAGCTGATGGATCTGTGGAAAGGTATAAGGCTCGTCTTGTAGCAAAGGGTTTTACTCAACAAGAAGGTGTAGATTATCATGAAACCTTTTCTCCAGTGGTCAAGTTCAATACAGTAAGATGTTTGGTTGCTTTAGCTGTCAAGAAAAGGTGGCCAATTCATCAATTTGATGTTAACAATGCCTTCTTGCATGGTGATCTTCATGAGGAAGTGTTTATGAGATTACCTCCTGGTATGCAAACTTCAAATAAAAATCATGTGTGTAGGTTGAAGAAGTCTTTATATGGTCTCAAACAAGCTTCTAGACAGTGGTATGATAAATTGTCATCTGCTCTTATTCAAAAAGGATTTAAAAGATCAACAAATGATTACTCACTATTCAAAAAGAAGGCTGGAGATTCTTTTATTCTTGTTGCTGTTTATGTCGATGATGTCTTGGTGACTGGCAACAATCAATCCGAAATTTCAGATCTCAAACACTTTCTTCATACAACATTTCAAATCAAAGATCTTGGTCAAATCAATTACTTTTTAGGCCTTGAATTCAAAACAGTCCCTGATGGAATGATTGTTTATCAGCATAAATTTCTCAAAGATCTATTAGAACAGTATGGTATTCAAGAAGCTTCTAATGTGAAATCACCTCTTCCCACCAAAATCAAAGATCTTCATTCTTCATCCGATTTCTTACAAGATCCGACTTCATACAGGCAATTAATTGGCAAACTCAATTTCCTTGTTCACACTAGACCCGATATTGCTTTCACTACTCAATTTTTGAGTCAATTCAATAGTCAACCTACACAAACTCACATGAATGCTGCCACACATGTATTACAATATCTCCATGGAACTATCTCTCAATGCTTATTATTCAACAACACAAATAATTTCAAGCTTGAAGCCTTTTGTGATAGTGATTGGGCAGCTTGTCCTCATACAAGGAAATCTGTTAGTGGTTTTTTTATCACCTTGGGAGGAACTCCTATTTCGTGGAAATCAAAGAAGCAATCTACTATCTCTTTGTCATCCGCTGAGGCAGAATACAGATCAATGAGAAGAATTTGTTCTGAATTAACATGGCTCAATAGATTGCTTGCTGAGTTTGAGATTCCAGATATTACACCCATTCCTCTTAAATGTGATAATTTGGCTGCTATATATATAGCAAAGAATCCTGTATTTCACGAAAGGACAAAACATATTGACATTGATTGTCATTTTGTCCAAGAAAAAGTTCTTGAAGGTCTCATTTCTTTATCACATATCCCCACCAAAATACAGCCAGCTGATGTGTTAACAAAAGCCTTGGGAAGTAAAGATCATGCAGAAGCTATTGGCAAGTTGGGTTTTGTTTCACAACTCCCAACTTGAGGGGGGCTGTTGGAATTAATGTACATAATTTTGTTTCTTTTGTATAGCTTATCATAGTTGAGGGACTAGTTTGTAAATATATTCAGATTAGTTAGCTGGTAGCTAAGTTGGTTAGATCTGTAATGTATATACAGAAAAGTTGTTTTCATTGTAATCAATAATTGAAAACAGAATTCTTTACCAATTCTCTCGTTCAACAGGTTTGGCTATCCGGTTCTGTGTTCATTTACATCTTTAGCGTTTCGGGAAGTACGCACAACATAATTC